AATACGTAATAAACCAGCTTTGTTTTCGAAATTATCAGCATGTGAGGTTAAGATGCCTTGAATAAAATAACATGATACTAACAGTACAAAAAGGCAAATTTGTGTTGTCCATAATAAAAAATGTGGCTGGAGAGCTGGCTAATACGTTCGCTGTGAAAAAAAGCCGAATATCGTTGAGTAAAGAATCAGAATCAATTTCCAAAACCACGGGGTGGTAGTAAGAGGAGGATAAACTTGCGGAGGAACATCGAGCCCTCATGGTTCAATACACTGAAAATAATTCAAGACTTACATTAAAAGATCTGAAACGAAATTTTAAAATCATCAAATTACAGTTTCACATAATGTTTGCGGAACATGGTGATGTTTTGAAGCTCAAAGATATTCTTAGAGAGCCAGAAAAAATGAATTGTTTGCGGACCAAAGCAACTGACGGATGAATATGCACACAGATAGGCGGACAGACAGACGGACTGACGGACAGAAGGACGGACAGAAGGACTGAGAGAAGGACGGAGAGAAGGACGGAGAGAAGGACGGAGAGAAGGACGGAGAGAAGGACGGAGAGAAGGTCGGACAGACGGACTGACAGACGGAAGGACAGACGGAAGGACAGACGGAAGGACAGACGGAAGGACAGACGGACTGAAAGAACTTTGACTCTGGCTACACAAAGAGTTAGAGGAAGTAGTTTACTGCACTTTTATGTATGTATGTATGTATGTATGTATGTATGTATGTAAGTACTTGGCGCGACAGCCCGTGAACGGACGGACGGACACAGCAACGGTGAGTAAACTGCACATAGGAACAAAAATTATCCACATTTCTGGTATCAGCGACCTACAATACAAACTTTTCGGCCAATGAATAGCCAGTTTTTCTTCGCAACATTGCATAACTTTCTCTACACTACGTAGGTATTATGCGAGCAAGTAAAAACTAGAAATTAATCACATTTTACTGCTTCTTTCACATTACCTAGGGCGTATCAATCCAGTGACACAAACTTCTTAAATATTATGACAGTACTACTGGCAAATTTGCTTATCTCTTTTTGCAGAAATGTAAATGAACTGGGAGAGAATTTTCTTAAACCACAGTTTCATAGGAAGGAAAGAGAGTTTTGCTTTATAAGTAGTTGGCTTTATGCCACCTTTACCATGTTACATATACCTTCACCGCTGCTAGTGAAAAAATATAAGAATATTGAAAGATACTAAATAAAAGGAAATCTAAAAATTATATCCGTTGAAAATTTAACCTGAGAATGTTCAGCATGTGTAATGTTTATTACACATGTAGCCTCAGGATGCAGGAGGTAGTAATGGGGGTTCCCATGAATGAGTCTTTGAAATTTACAAATTGGGTAGGACCAGATTCGAGTTATTTGGCAATCAACAACTTAATAACATCTTGAGTAATGACACATGAGAACTATAAATTCAACCATAAAAAAATCTTATGTATACAATAAGTGACTCAGTATGAAAGGTGATAGCTTGTTTCTGCGAGAGATAGCGGACACACGAAAGAGTGAAAGTGCCCCTCGCATGAGAACGATCTGTTCCAGTTTGACCACTTTTAGTTTCCGAAGCTGATTCACATAATGCGCTATTTACCAAATACAAGTGATTTATCTACGTCAGCTGGCGCTCTTCTTTCCTCAATTATCACTTTATTTTATCTCGTTTGCAGACGTAATGAAATACTTCAAGATATTTTGCACTAAAGATAATTACAGGAGCGTAGAAAACGACGCAGAATGGAATAAACTACTTTCTTGAGAAGACGTGTTTAAACGCAACACGCCACAAAATAAAATACCAAGAATAGAAAACCAGTCTCTTTCTATTGAACACGACGACTGCATTTGAACAATAATCGCGGAATCTACTGGCCGAATGCCGATTTTGGATTTGAAAATTTTATGTTTTAAAATAAGTATCATTTTCAGGTCTCTACCGCCGTCATGACTGAGCCACTCCTACTCCGGCTACCTTCTCCCGTACGCACGCTCTTCTTGCTCCCGCGCTCTTCTTGCACCAGTTCCCAAATGCACCCACCTTTCCCACCCTCTGCTCCATTCTCTAATACAGGTAGTTTTGTCTATATATTTCAAAGTGTCTTAAGGACTAGAAAACTATGTTCATAATAAATGTATTGATAATAGAATTATTGCAGATTAATGAACAAAGCCCTAAATAAGCATACTGTGGTCTGGAATGTCAAAGACTATACTTTTCCTTTGATTAAAGCTTATGTTGTACATCGTATTGAATGCAATGATTGCGATGAAATATATCCAGTCCAAATAGTCATTAAGTTCTAACAAGAATGAAAGAACATGATAGGAACCTCAGAGAGATTCCCCAAAGTCAAAACTCTGTATCCAATAATCGGATAAATTTCAACCATTCTTTCAATTTTTAAAATTCGAGAATTTTTGATATTGTGGCCCGGTGATATCCACGATTATTTTCTAAAACTTTACAGATTAAAATAAATAATTCTATTAATATTGCTGTTGAGAATAATCATTTTACAGATATGAATGATGCTTTGCTTTATAAACGTTCAACATTGAAAACTAGTTCTCCGTTCGTTCTGGTGCTCCTTTCTCCCACTTTTGTATCTTAACTTCCCCTATCTATCAGAACTCATATTGCAACAGCTCTTACCAACGTAATGAACTTGATTTTGTCTATCTAGTGACGGTTAGCTGTAGAATAATGTTAATACAAAAACATCTGTTTTCTGAGCTCTCATGTGTCTCAAAAGTTCTTTCCTGTCATAATTTCTGCATTTTATTTTGTTTTGTAAATGATTTTAAATTTTGTACTATATAATTTCAACATTCAACTTTACAGCCTGATGATGGAAAAAACAATCTCCGAAACCGTTGCACCATTATGAAATATATCAATGTTACAAGAATCCGTCTGTCAAAAAATATGGTCCCTAACTCTAACACAATTAAAATGATAAAATAATAATTAAATACAACTTTTTTCTCATTGATTCATATGAGTAAATACGAAGGTTGCCTTTTATGTTTCGGGATTTGGCAACCCTGGTGTTGCAATCTGGTAACTGACAGCTCTATCGTAAAGTAGGATGTTTTGAGGTTACACGTACTCAGAACGTTTTGAAATAAGAGCGCTATTTGTGTTGTTTACAGTAACTTAAAAGCTTCTCCTTGGCCCAAAAATGGAATTAAATCGTGAACATTTTCGTGCGATTATTTTTTACAACTTTCGACGTGGATTAACTCAGCAACAGACATAGATGAACTTAATTCAATTTTTGGCGATGAAGCTCCATCAAGGACCAGTGTTTATCGATGGTATGGTGAATTCAATCGTGGTCGTAGTTCACTCCAAGACGAATTTCGCGAAGGTCGTCCAAAATCAGTTGTTGTTCTGAAAACCATTGATGCTGTGCGTGAACTGATATTACAAGATCGTCATGTGACCTATCGTGAGATTGAGACAACCTTAGGCATTAGTGGGACCAGCATACATTCAATATTGCATGAACATTGACTGTCAAAAAAATTTGTTCGCGTTGGATCCCACACAATTTGTCAATCGCTCAAAAAAAGGCTCGTGTCGATTGGTCGAAAGAAATGCTCAAAAAATAAGATCGCGTTGCTTCGAAACACGTCTATGACATCGTGACAGGTGATGAATCGTGGATTTACGCGTATGAGCCTGAAAGTAAACAGCAGTCGACTGTATGGATGTTTCAAGATGAGCAAAATCCAACAAAAGTTGTTCGCGCACAAAACACTTCCAAACAGATGGTCGCCTGTTTTTTTCGGGAAAACTGGAAATGTCGCAACCGTACAAGTCCATTTTTGAGCATCCAAAGCATCGATTTGATGAGTTATCCGCCATATAGTCCTGACTTGGCACCGAATGACTTCTTTTATTCCCGTACGTAAAAAACAAACTGAGAGGTCAACGTTTTTCGACACCTGAAGAATGTTGCTGCATTCAGAATACATGGTTTGGAGATACCTCAATCAGAGTGGCAAAAGTGCTTCGACAATTCGTTCAAACATGCAAAAGTGTACAGATCTTCATGGGGAATATTTTGAAAAACAAAAAAGTGCGGTGCGGAGCGTCTGAACATAATAACATGTGTGACTTACTGACAAATTAATCCGCAAACAAATTAAAATATTCCTAGTTATCTTTTCAGTCAGATATATATGTATGTACTTGACACCACAGCCCGTGAACGGGCTTAGGAATACCGGCGACGTCCCTGCCTCGCGGCCATGGGATAAGGGGGATACTTATAGTTAGCACGTAGACATCCCCACGCCGTATTCCGGTCTTCTCTACCTAAAAAGTGAATTTTGTCATTGTCACAAAGCAACATATACTGGAAAATTGCAAGGAAAACACACACTATAATCTTTTCTGACCGGGAATCGAACCCAGGGCCGCGTAGTGGAAAGCAAGCAGCTTGCCAAGAGCTAGCCACGAAGCTGAAATGCAAGTAGATATTCCTATTTTGTAGTTCCTATATATTCCTATTTCAAGTACAGAATTTTGTAGGATTTTTTATTCATAAAAACTTCAATCCGGTCAGATGGTCGAGATCGTTAGGGCAATAGTGCCGTAGCGGTCTCGGACCAGAATATCGTGGGGTTGAGTCCCGCCTGGGACAAATGGGTGTATTGTGTATGTCTATATGCATGTGCCGTCCTTTCATCCCTCACGATCATCATCTCATCGTCCTTACCCCCAGGATTAACAACATTCTGCGATAATAATCGGGATTCAGCTAAAATGCTGTACACCCCCTCCCCCCCAGATAAAGGGACTTGCGCCACCTGAAGCAGGATGCACGCGTGGTCCGAGTTGGCTTTCACGCGGGAAAAAATAAAACCGCAATCAGTTTTCTGTTTTTGATTTTACTGACTTAATAATTCGTAGGGAATGATCTTATATTATGTTTACATTCAACATTTTTTTGTATGATTGCAGAGCTAATGCACCTGGGACGAACGGCATACGAACTTTTCGGAGGTGTCTTTCGCGCTTGGGTGACGATTTTCCCTATGTTCGTTGTTCTGGAACCGGAAGCCATTCAGGTGAGTTCTAGATTTATTCTGCTTCCTAAACATTTTCTCACGACTTAGAAATTAATCAATTTATTGAAGACAGTCTTCAATAAATATCTTTTATCCATAAAGGTAACTTGCATGAATGCTTATTCTATTCAAACATTTATGCACTTCCGTTTAATTCTCAAACAATTCTCTGTAGTTGTTTTAAATCTGTTTAGCAGATAACATGATCCGGTATTAATAAGTATCCGGAAAGTATCAAACTGGAGATGTAGAATTTATCCGACCATGTTTTTGTGATTCCAACAGCAAAATGTTGAAATGAATATTCTTAAATAGAAGTTTTAGAAATTATATAATGTGTACAAGATTGCCTTGTGGCATTTATTTAGGGGCCGTCCATATATTACGTAGTGTTTTCAATACCCCCCTCTCCCCCTTGTAACGCACTCATAACGCGCTCTTGAACCCCTCTAAATTATTAAGTAAAGCTTGGGACAACCTCCCATCCGCTTGTAGCACAATAAAAACAATTTGTATTCATTTTACTTGTATTGTATATTAAAGAAATTAATGATAATTGAAGTAGAAATTAGTTGGAAATGCTGCCTGCACGTAACAATAAGACTCGGGCAAGTTGTAAGTGAAGGAAGAATGCTTGGGCGAGAAATGGTTGATCACAAGTTATGCATACATGCTATGAGCGAGAGTCTACAGTGCCAATTTAAATGAATTCTAGAATATACTTCGGAAGTTTTGAATATTTTCTTTCTAATCTAACAGATTAAAAAATAATGTTGAAAAAATATTTCATGTATTGTAACAATTTACAAATAATAACTTTAGTTTATTTATGTTTTTAAAACAAAAGAAGCCGTGAATATTGTAATGTTTTTGTACAAAATTCAAAAACGGAATTATTTCAGCAAATGTTGAAAAATGTAAAAATTAAATATCAATGTTACGTTAACACTTAACTAATATCCTCTTACACCTATGTAACGCAGCGTAACGCTGCCCCAGACCCCCTCTTCAGCACTATGTAATTTATGGACGATCCCTTAAGACTTTCGCCCGTAGTCATTGTACAATATCAGCTCGAATTTGCTTACTCATTGAAATCCATTGTCGAAAATGGAATTTTCATTTCACAAAATATCTGTCATTCTTTGAGGCAAGATGATACGCATGATGGATATAAACAGAATATATATTAAAATGTGACATCAATCCTTTGTTTTATATGAATCGTAACTTCAATAATTTCTCTTAACCTATTTAATCCGTAAGTTATTCAAAATCTGGTGAAATATGAAAAATTAACAAAACCATTTTTGTCGGGTAGCAGTAGCAGTTAGGTCTTGACGTTTTTGAGCCCAAATACCTTGCGTACTCGATACTTAACATCAAACCAGGATTAAGTCATTGCACTTGATCAGTATTTTGCTACCCCTGCTATACATGAACTTCTTTATTGTGAAACTTGGATTGCTGCAGATGCATATTAATAGATTGGTTGGACGGATTGAAATACTTCATTTAATTGAACACATGGTATAATCTCTAAATAAAGTCGGTGGTTTACACAGAAATATTGTATATTGAAAAATGTTATTCATATTGGAATATTAAACACATGTCTCGAGTTATTTTTCTCATTTTCATAGTTTCCTATCAGAAGTTAAAATAACCCCCAAAATGAACTACCGGTGTTACAATAGCACATACGTTCTCGCATTATTCCTACATTTTGTCACTTTCAAAAACTCACAGAGTTCAACGAGACTGAGACCTGTGGCACTCTTTTAAGTGTCCCTTGTTCTATTCGTGAAAAAAATTGGAGTGGGTTCTCAGAAAACGTTCGTTGATTAATTGCATAATTTTACTCTTTCATTAATTTAACTAATGTTATGAATAAATTGCATTAAATGTGCATGACCCTCTTTTTGAGATCTGATTATTTAAACAGAGTTTGTTTAAAGCAAAAATCTCTATCTTCAATATTGTATTTTTACAAGCTAACTTTTCGCAGTTTTCGAAAATATGGACGACCCCGAGAACGCTTTACGACATGCCCGACTGTCCCACTTCTTTACTGCCCTTTCATAGATGCGTGAAGAAAATTTTAAGAACATATGAGGAGCCGTTTTTTAGAAAAAAATTAAATATTGGTTATATTTCACGCAAAATTACGTAGAAACTACTAATATTTTCAAAAAAATGTACATGACTTTATTTCAAGAGTTTCTCTTTAAAGAACTTATTTTATTAACGAAAAAATCTCTATTTTCAATATTGTAGTTGTAGGAAGACGCCAAAAACAATTTTGAACTTTTACAATTTTGGAAAAATCAGGTATTTTAACGAAATTGAGACATGTACCATTCTTTTAAGCGTCCTTTATGCTCTCCGAAGACAAAAAATGGAGCTATTTTGACACAATTGATGTCAAAATAGTTCCATAGTGTTGGTGACGATTCATGTTAACTGACACCGAAAATCAAAATATTCGTTTGTAACTCAAGGGCCTTTGAGTTACAAACGACTATTTAATCATTTAAATCGTCGTTTAAACCAACGTTTGAATCGTCGGAAAATATATATTTTGGAGAAAATTGGGTGAACAGTTTTAGGCCACAGACGGACATACGGACGAACGACGTTTTGCCGTAAAGCGATTTTTCGGTGTCAAGATACCCCAAAACATGGATTACACCACGTGTTATGGTCAGTAATATGCTGCGCGTAGGAACAAGATTTATCTACTTCACCAGTGCCCGGCAATATGACTTTTCTGTCGAAAATTGACCGTTATCCGGCGCAAGATTACAATACTTTCTGTTCTTACAAAGTAAGAGCGAGAAAGTAAAAATGTATAAACATGAGGAATAATGTATAATAAGGTACAATACTTTTCCAAGTGGTTTGCTAAACATGAGTTGGCAATTTCGCAAAGGCAAACTTCAGAGGGCAACTTCGCGCACTGAGATTTGGATTAGGTGAGGTGTAACAGAAATTGAAACGAATCTAAAAAAATAACATATTGTACATAAGTTCGGTCATTGATGCAGGAGGCTGAAGGATTTTCCACTAATTTTTATATTTCAACATTTTTTAAGATATTTTTTTAAAATAAAATAATATATTTTGAAATATACATTATAAATAAAACTTAGTATGTCATTAGTCACATAGATGTATTGCATGCTATATTCTAGCAGGAGACGGTGTTCCATCACTGCTGGAAAGTGAGTTTCGATTCCTCTGATTGATATTTTTCCGTGGTGTCTCCGAACATCAGTCTAACGGCGGAGCAGTACCATAACAAAAGGGCCAGGGACACGTATGATATTTCCTTCATCATCGCTCCCTGGTTTCCCCTTACAACCCACGCACCCTTACGTGTACTACTACCACACATCTCGATAGACCAATCGGGCGATTAGAACTTGTGCCCGCTGGAACGGGGTGCTCCATTGGTAGAGATACCTGGAGGGGGAAAACCGTCGCAAGCCAACATGCATGTAGCGTAGAATCAAACGTTTTGACGGGAGAGCAACACCGCCCCTTCTCAAGGTATGAAATATCCTGCACTATCGGGATTAATAACGAACACAGTTGTCGCGCTCGGAAACAGGAAGTAATCATTCTTCATGGAAATAATATTCTAAAAGGTTCTATTAGGCGACTAATTGTTATGTAAATTTACAGGAACAGCAAATAGAACTTATTCAAATTGAATACATATGTTTATTAATTTTAAATTTGTACCTTGTTTCTTTTTCAGAAAATTCTTAGTAGCCAAAAACACACGGAGAAAATATCTCTGTACAGGTTGCTGCACAATTTCTTGGGTCAAGGACTCATAACAAGCAGTGGTAAGAATTTACTATGAATTGTGTTTTTCATTAACAACGGCAGTATTCGAGTTATTGTGTATTGGCGTATTCCGGTTTAAATATAATTAGTTATTGCATTTTACTAGGAACTAGGTAATTAATGTAAGTAATTGACGGTAACTAGTTTATCAATTAATGTTTGCATTAGCAATGACATTCTAATAACATCTTTTTATCATGTTTTTATTAAGAATATATTTTAAAACATATTATGCACTAAATAAAATTTTTGTTAACAGGTGAAGAATGGCATACGCATCGGAAATTAATACAACCCAGTTTTCACATTAATATACTCGAAGGGTTTGTGACGACATTTTACGATTGTGCCAACATATTTGTGAATCGTTTACAACCAACTGGCCCAAAAGGAGTGAACATAACATCATATATTAACAACTGCGTCCTAAACATTCTTAATGGTTAGTGTTTTATCTGATATTTTAGTACAGTATTTGTTTTACTCTTGTCATTAATACTGTAATGAATTAATGAAATGAGATACTGATGTAGTCAATGAAGCAATGTGAAGCCTATGCTTTAAGCTTTCAAATTCATGTAATGGGTGTCCAAAGAACTGCCGTAATTAGAGCATGGTTCCACCGTCTTGCTGCGGTGCTCCGCGGCGGGTCTTTTAATGGGTCGAGAGCGACCATGACAGTTTTAATTGCTGTCATTTATTTCTAGTTTGGGTTATTTTGATATTTATGTGTTCGTTACATTTTAACTTTGGATTCATGTGAACGTCCTATTTGATCAGCATGTGTGAGGGTGTCTATTTCAAGGGTTGATTTTAGGTTAAGAGGTGGGGAAGAGCATGATCTTAGTGAGAATTTTTTGATTGTTAATTTCAAGGGGTTTAGCTTAATTTTAAGACTAAAGCCAGTTGACTAAGAGACGTATGTATATTTGCAATTAGTTTCTAATATCAAGTAGTGAATAGCTTGTTACGTTAATATTTAATTGGCTGTCTGGGTGACGCCGTGTCCATGGCAAAGGTGCCGACGTTCCGGTCGCCGTACTGCGACCTTCTTCAGGGCGTAATGCTGAGGAAGGTCGCAGAATGGCTACTGAAACGTCAGCACCCTTGCCGTGGACGCCACAACGGCGCGTCACCTGGACAGCCAATTAAATACTGACTCCGGCCGCGGAAGCCTATGCTCTCACTGTTAGGTTAAATTGCTGTGTCGTCGGCATATTTTGCGGTTTGGACGTTGTTTAGATTTGGAAGGTTGGATACGTATATGGTAACCAATGTTGCTGAAAAAAGGAAGTTCTATGTCTAAGACTATTTCATTCTACAGAGAACGATGAAGGTCAAGGATGTCACCTGATAGTATTGTACGACATAAAAACACTAACATGAGTACATTTGATAAGATCGAATTAAAATATCGTGTCAGAAGCCTATTATGAAAAAGGGAAATGCAATATGATATTAATACGATGTATTTTGTATATTTGTAGAATCCGTTTTGGGGATTCCTGTAGACGAAAAAGAAACCAAAGCTGTCTCTGAAACACCGTTTCGAAAGTAAGTAGTAGAAACCTTAACAATTCATCAAAACTCGCTACGTCATTAAAAACTTATTTTCTAATATTTTTACAATATTTTCCACGAAAATACCTTATTACACATTGGCTAATGGTTTCAGCTTTTGTAATATACATTCCTTATCACAAGTTTCATTTAATATATACTTTTAACTAATAAAATCATTTCTGTCTCCACAGAGGAAAAGTTGTAGTACCCCATCGGCTGGTGAGGCCCTGGTTGTTACTGAACTGGGTGTACAAACTTACTGAAGATGCCAGAAAAGAGATGCAACATAAGAATGATATTATTGAGTTTGCAAAAAAGGTGAGCGAACCACAGGAATTTTTTTCCTGAAATATAGAACAATCTCACGTAAATTGGTTTTTGTAACGCTGAATGGTTTAGATTAGTTTAAGAAACATCAAACCAGATAATTTTATTGTTCAAAATTATTAGAAAGAATAACGAAATATTTATTCTGATAGATTAACTGATAACCTTTCGATGAACTTTGTAAAGTAGTTCAAAAAATGAATGTTATTTATTTTATTGAGAAAAAAAACATACTACAAAATGTTTCTATTTATTGAATGGAAACTTTAAAATTCAATTTTTATTAATTATTTATTACATATATATAACAACTAGAACAGTCTTGATGTAATACATTTCACATTCACGTTTGCCGTAAAATGACGTCTATGAATGCACATTTAATTAATTGCAGGCCCTGGAAGAAAGACGAAAATTGAGGAAAGAAGCCAAAGTATCGTCGACAGGTTAGTATTTACAACTAGTATATATTTCGATTATTTGAATATTTGTCCAACTAGTCGAAAATATTGTGTCCGAGATAATACTATACTTGAAATGCTGTTGGCCATATATCTCACAATAAGAGTAGGAATTAACACTGGACTAGATATTTTCCTCTTCAACAATTTACTTGATGCAAAATCTAAACTACAGCAAATCTTGCCGAAAATAATATATATATATATATATA